GGGGAGGGGAGGGAGGAAGAGAGGAAGACCCAGAGAGGGAGAGGGAGGGCTGGGGGAGGAGGCCTCAGCAGGAGGAGAGGGGATCACCAGCTGGGGAGGGGGCTCCTGCTGGGGGCCACCTGGCTTAGGGCCGCCATCGCCTTTCTTTCCCCAGGCGTCTAGCACGTTCTTCCGGGCACTGCCTTTTCTACCCCAGTTGTGAGGTTGAGAGTGGCCACAGATCTCTTTCACATCCTGCCCACCGCCTCACGGCCCGTGGATCCCAGCCAGTAGGTGCCCTTTCCCGGAGTTTGTAAACTGGCCCTGGGGACGGCATCGCCCCCGTCCTCAGTGAGGGAGGCCACAACCCCTGCGCGTGGAGGGCCCCCCGGGGGAGGATGGACTCCCTGCAGAGGCTCAGGCATGAGACTCGGATGTTTACCTCTGGCGGCGGTCCAGTCCTGCGTCTGAGCCGGTCTGTTCTTCTCCAGGGCTTGGTCCTTGAACCTGCCTTCCCCGGGAGTGATGTCCGGCTGGCTTTTCAGAGCCTGTCCCTTCCTCCTCAGGGTTTTTTTAATCACTCGCAACCTGAAAGATCCTGAGGAATTCAGAAGGACAGATACGAGTGGCCACGAGGAGCAGAAGCGGGAGGCTCTGCGGCGGCAGGTGGACGACTTTGTGGACGATGTGTCCTGAGAGGCCAGGCTCTGCCTGCCGGCCAGGGCACACCAGCTCCCAATGTCTCAGCTCAGCTCAGATCAGCCGCTCAGTCGTGCCTGACTCTTTGCGACCCCGTGGACTGTAGCACGCCAGGCCTCCCTGTCCATCACCAACTCCCGGAGTTTACTCAAATGCATGTCCATTGAGTCGGTGATGCCATCCAACCATCTCATCCTCTGTCGTCCCCTTCTCCTCTTGCCTTCAGTCTTTCCCAGCATCAGGGTCTTTACCAACGAGTCAACTCTTTGCATCAGGTGGCCAAAGTATTGGAGTTTCAGCTTCAGCGTTAGTCCTTGCAGTGAACACCCAGGACTGATCTCCTTTAGGATGGACCGGTCCTTGCAACCCAAGGGGCTCTCAAGAGTCTTCTCCAACATACAGTTCAAAGGCATCAATTCTGCAGTGCTCAGCTTCTGTGTCTGTCTCTGTGTCTCTGTCTCTCTATCTTTGTCTTCCTCCCTCTGGTTCTCATTTTTCTCAGCGTCCGTATCTAACTTTGGCCTCTCTTTCCAAGGTTCTTTGTTTGATCCGTGGGTTGGAAAGATCCCCTGCAGAAAGGAATGGCAACCCACTCCAGTATTCTTGCCTGGAGAATTCCACTAACAGAGGGGCCTGGTGGGCTACAGTCCATGGGGTTGCAAAGAGTCGGACACGGTGGAACCATCGACACTACCAAGGTTCCTTCCCCTCCCGCTCCTCAGCCTTCGGGGCCTGTGTCTGTCTGCTGCTCCCAGCTGGGTGTTCTCCATCCTGGGGTCCATGCTATGCACACGCCCTGGGCCCGACCACTTCCTCCCCATTCATCCCCAGCAGGCCCCTCCGCCCCGGGGACCATCTCGGGTGCTGGCACACCCCTGCACCCAGGCTGGGAGTCCCCGGGGCTGCTCCCTTTCCTTCCTTTTCTGCATCCCGTCAACACACTTGGCTCTTTGCTTCCAGGGTTGTTCTGGAATCTACCTCTAGTGCTAACGCCCCCCCCTCCCCCCACCCCGCCCCTGACTTAGCATCTTCAGTCTCTGGCACGAATACTTTCAGCATAAATGGTCTCTCTGCCTCCTCATTCGTTCCTCTCAAGCCCTGCTCCCGGCTGTCATTGTGTTCCATCATAGAACCCATCCGCCTGCCCTGCAGAGAGCCCCGAGTAAACCCCAGTAAATCCCATGGGCCCCCTGAGCCTTAGAGGGCAACTCACGCCCTCTGCTCCTGCTTCAGACACAGGGGAGCTTCCCTGGTGGCCCAGACAGTAAAGAACCTGCCTGCGGATTCTTGGTTGATATGGTCATTGTGGGAGACCCAGGTTCGATTCCAGGGTCAGAAAGATCCCCTGGAGAAGGAAATGTCAACCCACACCAGCATTCTTGCCTGGAGAATCCCATGGACAGAGGAGCCTGGCGGGCTACAGTCCATGGGGTTGCAAAGAGTCAGACACCACTGAGCGAATAACACCTTCACCTTCACGTTCCAGTCACAGGGGACTCTGCAGTTCCCAGCGACATTTCTCTTTTCTGGGCCTTGCCTCAAGCTGCCTCCCTGCCGGAGTCCTTCCCTCCCTGCCTGGGCCACTCAGACCCCCGTCTCTGCCTGACCCGCGCCATCCCAGCGGCACCCCTGCCACACCTCAGCCCCCGGGAGGGGTTGTCTCTGCAGTCCCGTCACAGTTCGCAGTTGTTTCCACAGAGATGGGTGCTTCTCGCTGAGCTCAGGTGCATAGGGGGGTGTGGGGGGGCCTCTGCATCCCATCTCTGAAGTGTGGTCCAGGGATGTGAAGAAGAGGGGGTGTAAGGCTCTGTGGGGGGGAGCAGGGTACCCAGGATGGCTTCCCGGTTCTTGGCTTAGGTGGGGACTGGAGGGTGGAGCCCTGGAGCCAGGAAAGCAGGAGGAAGAGTGGGTGGATGGGGACTGGGATGGGGAGGTGCTGAGCTGGCTTGGATTCCTGTGGGACGTTTAGGTAGATGCACAATCCTGGGGTTTAGGAGAAGAATCTGGACATGGGACACACATGTGGGAGTTCTATCAATAAAGGGCAGGCAGGATGGGAGGCGAGCTTGGGGGAGAATGGACACATGGTGATGTATGGCCGAGCCTCTTTGCTTTCCACCTGAAATTATCACAACACTGTTAAGTGGTTATGCCCCAATACAAAGCAAAACGTTAAAAAGGGCAGACAATGAAGGAGTCCTCAATGTCCTGATTTCTGGGGGTTGGGAAATATGCTGTGTTGGCATAAAGGAATTTTTTTTTTTTGCATAAACGAATTTTTAGCATCCTATATTGGTATTTGGCTGAGGGTGCTAGTTGCTTTCAGCTCTGCTTTCTTACATTCTTTTTTTTCCCCCAAACAGAGCCATGAAATTATTTAGGGATAGCAATGCTCAGGTAAAGGACTCCAGTCTCCAGCCTCCCTTTCTGGCTGATAAATTGTAAGGAGAACTATATGATGTCTTTGAATTTGGGGAAAACTCCTTAGAGCACGGAGACATGCTTATCTCCCCCTCCTCTATTCTACAGCACAGTACTCAGATGTGATGGCTGGAGCTCTAGCAGTCACTTTGGAGTAGGAGGCTGAGGGACGTATCCTAGATGGCTGCTTTGAAGAGGAAGGAGGCTGCACTGTGGATGCACACCTTTGTGGAGCTCTTATACCAGCCCAGGACACTTTTCACAGAGAAACAAATAAAACTTCTCTCTTGCCAAAGTCACCACTTTAGTGTTGTGTTAAATTTGGCTGAACTTAGTGCAAATGAAAACATCTTTGGTCAAGTGATAGCCTTGCACCTCTGCACATTTCCAATCAGCAATGTGCACCAGGCCCGGTGGGAACTGACCGCTAAGGTGTCCTGCGCCACCTGCTGGACACACAGCAGACAACCCTTCTTTCAACAAAGCGCAGCACTAAGCTGCTTAAGCCAGGGTGCTTTCCTGGGCTGTCTGTCTTTTCCCAGTGGTCTACACCCCAACTTGCTAACTTGACCTCAACCGCAAGACAGCGATTGAATGTCAGTGGACTTCCAGGACTTCCCAGCTGCACTGAGCTTCTTGGCTCAGGTGTGTGCTCAGAACTTACAGGGCTGTTTCCAGCAACCCCACAGGGTGCTCCCCGCCCCCAGGCTAAGAACTTCAGTGCTAAATAAAGGGTTCCATGTGACCTCTCCTTCTGCAGACTCTGGTCTCAGAGCAATACTTACAGGCGAAGAAGCAGGAGGGAGATGACTCACCGCCTTTCTGAGCAGGAAATGAACGTCAAGGGAGCCTAACCTTGCAGCCGCCTGAACAAATGGATCTGTGGTCCATGTAGCTGCCGGTGAAGTGGGCTGCTGCTGTGGGTGAACTGATTATCCTTCCTTCTGCTGATCGCTGCTATGAGCCCCAGTGGCCAGCTCTGTTCAGAGTAGAGTTCAAATTGCAAAAACCAGTCTTGGAGGTTTAGACATACTAGAGGTTAGGTGGAAAGACCTCTGACCGGGCAGACTGGTTTACACCCTGTCTGGTCATGAGCATCTTTTGGCTAACCCAGGGCCCACTTTCCCTGTCTGGCAGCACTTGGGACAGGAGGTGGCTGGGACCCCACTGTGTCACTGCCATGGCCTCTGTAAATAAGTGTGGCCCTGTGTTGCTAAAGCCTGATGCAGGAGGCTTTGGGGAGAAGCACAGATGCCAAGAGCAGGAAAGTGCCTTCGCGAGCTTCACCGGGAGCAAGGATGAGACCCCTGCTGTGCAGGGACGTCAGTGTCACCTGGGAAGTGACGGGCTTCAGCAGATGGATGTAGGTCCTTGGTTTTCCTGGGGTTGAGGGGGGACTGTGAGGCCGGGGTGTGGGAATGCGCGGGGAGGGAGGAGAGTCAGAGGGCAGATAGCAGCCCCAGCATCAAGGGCGGTGGGGCAGTGAATACGGAGGAGAGAGGGCTGGAAGAGGAAATGAGACCTAAGGGGGTCATGAAGAGCACGCCCAGTCCCAAAGCTGGGACTAGTCACAGCCTAGAAGCTGAGAGTCAGATTTTATTTGGTGGGAAGTTCTAGAACTTCCTGGAGAAGGAAATGGCGACCCACTCCAGTATTTGTGCCTGGAAAATCCCATGGACTCAGGACCCTGGTAGGCCACAGTCCATGGGGTTGCAAAGAGTCAGACACGACTGAGCGACTTCACTTCACTCACTTCTAGAACTTCAAGCCCGGGAGACAGTATCTTCAAGTAACCCAGAGAAACTGTTCTGAGGAGGTGGGGGCGGGGGAGAGGAGTCAGGTTATGTAGAAGTTTGCGACAAGGGGCAGTTAGTCTGAACATCAAAATGTTATTGTTAATTAAGGAACACCAGACATCTCACATTAAGGAATTTAGCATTTTTCTATGTATGGGACTTCCTTGGTAGCTCAGCTGCAAAAGAATCTGCCTGCAATGCAAGAGACCCTGGTTTGATTCCTGGGTCAGGAAGATCCCCTGGAGAAGGGATAGGCTACCCACTCCAGTATTCTTGCCTGGAGAATCCCCATAGACAGAGGAGCCTGGCTGGCTACAGTCCATGGGGGTGCAAAGAGTTGGACATGACTGAACGATTAAGCATACTATGCAGGGGGAGATGCTAGAGTCTGGGCTCACTGAAATTATTCCTTTCACACGCATCACGGCTATCAGGGGACAGCATCCTGCAATTTGATTTTTCACTTCCTTAGTTTCTTTGCGGGAGGAGAAGGGGACGACAGAGGATGAGATGGTTGGATGGCATCATTGATTCGATGGACATGAGTTTGAGCCAGATCTGGGAGTTGGTGAAGGACAGGAAAGCCTGGTGTGCTGCAATCCATGGGGTCACAAAGAGTTGGGCAAGACTGAGCAACTGAACTGAACTGAACTAGTTCCTTGCTCACCCTAGGGAGTGGCGGCAGCTCAGTGACTGCCAGATAGCAGGCAGTATTCTTTCTGGGCTCAAAAATTCACCTTTGGAGGGCAGGAATCACGGATGGCTGTGCCTCCTTATTTACTGTTATGGCAGGAAATCCGCTGGTTCACATGCCCCTTAGGCTGCAAGGAAGGAATAAGTGTCAAGTCATCTTACGGTGGAGGAAGCTGAGTCTCAGGAGTGTGTGAGTTGCACAAACCTGCGTGGTGTTAGGTGCCAGAACTGAGCTCCACCCCTCCCCAGGGGAGATATTCCTGTCCTTGAGGCTCTGGGATGCATGCAAGTCTGGCTTCCCTGGTATCTGAACCCAGACGACCAGAAGGTCCTGCTTTGCAGTTCTTTATCGTTCTTATACTTGAAATGGTCAAAATAAGAAAATTCTTAAAGAAATTCTACATCTGTGGGCTCTGGTCTGAGATGGGGGCTCCTCTGTGTGGGCCGGGGGTGGTCCCCATATCGCCCGTACCCTGCCCCTGCTTCCTGAAGAACCTCTTTCTGCCCCCACCACCTCTGGGGCCTCCTTAATCTGCCACTCATCCCTGGAAGGCCTCTCAAAGCAACAAATTCCTGTTTCCCTAAATGTTCTGGCTTCCTTGTCATCATTATGTAAAACAGCCTCAGTCAGTTTTTCCCATTTACATCTCCACCTGGCAGCGGAGGAGCCACAAACAAAACAACAATCTGCTTTACTTGGGGAGGAAGTGGGCGGGCCTGGAGGGAGGGGGCCCGGGTTCTCTCCCCTCGCTTCTCCGGTGGAGCCTTTGGGGGCCTCTGTAAAGAAGGTTCCGGGTGGGGCGGGTGTCCCTTCCCTCTTAGACCCTGGTCACCTTCTCCTTCTGCTGTGCGTCCACCTGCAGCTGTGCTGAGCCTGGCATGGGGGAGCCTGCCAGCAATTCTTTCAGCAGAGCGAGGACTTTGGCCTCATCCTGGGGGGGAAACGTATAGGACCAGATGCCCCACCCGGGGATCCAAGCCTCCAGCAGGTACACATCAGATGTGGGAAGGTGTGCATGACAAGGGTCTCCCTCCGGGCGACATCCCCACTCCCCCCACCCAAACCACACATATACTCCCAGTTCAGTTCAGTTCATTCGCTCAGTCGTGTCCAACTCTTTGCGACCCCACGGATTTCAACACGCCAGGCCTCCCTGTCCATCACCAACTCCCAGAGTTTACTCAAACTCATGTCCATTGCATCGGTCATGCCATCCAACCATCTCATCCTCTGTTGTCCCCTTTTCCTCCTGCTTCAATCTTTCCCAGCATCAAGGTCTTTCCCAATGAGACAGCTCTTCACATCCACCCCCTATATTCTGGGGTCTGGCTGCTCAGACCCCAGGCCTGTCTGGCCACGTGGGAGGCAGATTGCAGGATGAACCCATGACCCAGGCGGCGCAGTCCGCCCACCCCAGGGATGCTCTCCTGGAGAGTAGCCCTGCGCATGTGACTTTGGGTCAGACCACCCTGACATTCCCGTCTGAGCACCACTGGCCCTGTTTCCTGGGGCCAACGAGGCAGGAGCCAATTTACTGAACCATCTGAGTCAGAAGGGGTGAGAAGTGGAAAAGGAGGCCTGCGTTCGCTGCCTCTCCTCCTGCTAAGCAGGTCCTGGGGCTCTCCCTCACGCTCCCTCCTGTCTGTTTCTCTGGGGACAGGCCCTGCGGCTGTGTCTCCCATGCTGCAGGAGGCCCTGCTAGGAAGTGGGGACAGGTCACCCCCAGCCTTCTCCAGCTGTGGACAGATGCCCCCCGGGGTCCAACTTCTAGGGGTGAGCCTGCCCTGCCCTCCGTCTCTCCTCCACTCCTGGGCTGCATGTGTTTCCTGTAATTGCTGTGTTTGGAATGCCCACCCTGCTGTTTCTTCATCTTCCTCTTTTAAAAAAATATTTATGTATTTGTTAGGGATCCCCTGGTGGCTCAGATGGTAAAGAGTCTGCCCACAGTGTGGGAGACCTGAGTTTGATCCATGGGTCGGGAAGATCCCCTGGAGAAGGAAATGGCAACCCACTCCAGTATTCTTGCCTGGAAAATACCATGGATGGAGGAGCCTGGCAGGCTACAGTCCATAGTGTCGCAAAGAGTCAGACACGACTGAGCGACTTCCCTTTCACTTTCTTTCACTTATTTCTTTGGCTGTGTCAGGTCTTAGCTGCACCTTATGTGATCTTTCCTTGTGGCACACGGGCTTAGTTGCTTGGAAGTATGTGAGATCTTAGTTCCCCAACCAGCGACTGAACCCGAGTCCCCTGCAGGCCTGCTGCGGTGGTTCAGATGGTTCAGTCTGCCTGCAACGCAAGAGACCCAGGTTCCATACCTGGATCAGGAAGATTCCCTGGAGGAGGGAATGGCTACCCACTCCAGTATTCTTGCCTGGAGAATTCCATGGACAGAGAAGCCTGGGGGGCTACAGTCCATGTGATTGCAGAGAGTTGGACACGACTGAGCGCTAACACTTCCTCCTGCATTGCAAGGCACAGTCTTGACTGCTGACCCACAGGGAAGCCTCCTTCCTTGTTTCTTAGCCTCTGTCACTGAGCCTCCAGCTTCCTGACTTCAGGGCCCCTGTGCTAAGCGGCCCAGGGCTCCCACTTCCCCACACCCAGATCTGCTGGACTGCCATCCTAGCCTCAGTGACACTGGGAGCAGGTCCTACCATTGATTTTTGATTATGTTCCGGTATTAAACACCCTGTCATTAATTAAAAACTCTCATCCGATAGCAAATTCAAAGGTTTTCCCCCTAGTTCTGCCTGATCCCAGGCCCATGAGTCCTGGCCCTGGGATGGGCAGG